TAATAGTCCATTGTTTGGATATACTATATTTTGTTTATCCACCCATTGGCTGAACAACGTTTGGTTTTTTTTTCTACCTTTTGGTTGTTTTATATAATACTGCTATGACAAGTTTGTCTTTTCTTTCTCTTTTTTTTTAAATCTCTTTGCAATAGAGTCTTGCTATGAAGCTCTGGCTGTCCTGGAATTCACTATGTAGACGAGGTGGCCTCAAACTCAAGAGGTCCACCTGCCTCTGCCTCCCGAGAACTGGGATTAAAGGTGTACACTGCCAGGCCTGGCCTAACTATGACAAGTTTTTATTCAAGTTCATGTACAGGTTTTTGTGTGAACATGTTTTCAGTTTTCTGGTAATTCTATGAGGAACTTCTAGACTGTATTTGCCAAAGAGGCTGCACCATTTCACATTTTTGTCAGCAGTATATGAGTGTTCTAGTTTGTCCATATTCTAAATCAGCACTTTTATTGTGCTTAAAATTACATTTTTTTTTTGTGTGTGTGGGGGGTGCGTGCGTGCACATATGTATGTGTGGGTGTGTGCATGCCACGGTGTGTGTGTAGAAGTCAGAGGATAACTTGTTAGAGTTGGTTCTTGCCTTATGTTATATGGGTCCTGGGGATTATACTCAGGGCACCAGACTAAGCAGCATATATTTTACCTACTGAGTTACGACACCGGCTTATTTTGATTATGGCCAGTCTAGTGGGTGTCAAGTAGTGTTTCATTGTGGGTTGGATTTCTGTTGCTAGAATGATTTTGAGCTCCATTTCATGTGTCTCTAAGGCACACCTGTATATTTTCTTTGGTGAAATGTCTATTCATGTCCTTTTGCTTTTTTTTTTTTTTTTTTAAATGTGTATGAGTGTGTTGCCTGCATGTATGTGAGTGCACCCGTGTCTTGCAATCCTACGGAGGTCAGAAGAGGGCTTTGGATTCCCCTGGAACTGGAGTTAAGGATGGTTTGTAGCCTCCATGAGGGTTCTGGAAATTGAACCTGGGTCCTCTGCAAGAGCAGTCAGTGCTCTTAACCGCTGAGCCATCTCTCCAGCCCCCCTTTTGCTTATTTTTTAAAAAATGAATTAGGCCTGAACACGGTGGCATAGGCTTGTAATTCCAACACTTGGGAGGCAGAGGTAAGAGGATCAGGGGTTCAAGGTCATCTTTAGCTTTATAGCAAGTTTGAGACCAGTGTGGGCTATATGAGACCCTGTCTCAAAAAAATAAAAGAAGAGCAACAAAATATAAAAAAAAGGTATGGCTGTAATAGTTTTGTATGTATTCTAGATAGTAGACCATCATCAGATGCATGATTTGCATATATTTGCTTATTTCATGAGGCATCTTTCCACTTTCTTGGTATAGTGTTTTTTTAATTATTTATTTTTATTTTATGTGTATGAGTGTATTGCCTGCATGTAAGTAAGTGCACCTGTGTCGTGCAATGCCTGCGGAGGACAGAAGAGGCTGTCAGATCCCCTGGAACTGGAGTTATGGACAGTTGTTAGCTGCCATGTGGGTGCTGGGATTCGAACCCAGGTCTTCTGCAAGAACAACCAGTGTTCTTAAGCGCTGAGCCATCTCTCCAGCCCGATGCAGTGTTTTTTTTTATAAAAGTTTTGGTTTTCTCTCTTTTCCTATTTTTAAAATTTCAGGCATTTGTATGTTTATGTGTGCATGTGTTTCAGTGCATGTTATATATTGAGTGTATGTATGTGTGGGTATGGAGACTGGAGGACAAGCTCACATGTTGTCATCCTTAGGAACATTGTCCACGTCCTTTGAGACAGGGTCTCAGAGTTCACTAGTTAGGCTAACCTGGCTGACGGAGCCCCAGGAATCCTGTGTTGCCTCCTGAGCTGAGATTATAACATGCCCTACCACACCTAGTATTTTTACATGGGTTCTAGGGATCTGACGCAGTTCCTGTGCTTGCAAAGCACTTTACTGATGGAGCCATCCTCCTCAGCCTCTTTCCCCTGTTCTCTCTTTTTCTTTTTTTTCTTCTTTGGTGTGAAGCAAAGTTTTTAAATTTCATGAAGTCTGCTTTCTATATTTCCTCTTGACTTGATTATACTTTAGTGTCATATCTAAGAAACTATTGCCTAATGCAAGGTCATAAAGATTAAAAAAATATTTTTATTCTATGTGTATAAGTGTATTGGCTGCTTGTATGTAAGTGCATCTGTGTTGTGCACTGCCTGCAGAGGTCAGAAGAGGGTGTTGGATCCCCTGGAACTGGAGTTTTGGACCATTGTTAGCCACCATGTGGGTGCTGGGACCCAAACTTGGGTCCTTTACAAGAGTAGCCAGTGAGTGCTCTTAACCACTGGGCCAACTCTCCAGCCCCAAGGTCATGAAGATTTATACCTATGTTTTCTTCTATGTTTTATAGGTTTTGCTCTTAACTTAGACTTAAGGCTAAATTTAACTTCAAAATTACTCTTAGCTTAGGATGGGGGAATATTACTCAGTTTTAGAGCTCTTGCCTAGCATGTTCAAATCTCTGGGTTGGATTCTGAGCACTGGAAAAAATTAGTCTTAGTTTCACTTTAAAACCATTTTGGGGACTGGTGAAATGGCTTCAGTGAATAAAGGTGCTTACTATTAAATCTGATGACTTGAATTCAATCCTTGGGGCCCATATGGTAGGAGAGAACTGATTCCTGAAAGTTGTCCTCTAACCTCTACATGCACACAGTGGCATGATCCCCCCCCCCCATGCCCACATATGCATGCACGCACGCATGCAGACACAAAACACACACACATGCACAGAACTTTTGGATTGGTGGACATTAATGCTTTTTGGGTGTATAACTGACTTTGATTTGATTTGGTTGGGTTTTTTTAAGTTACAGACATTTTTTCATTTATTTTTATTTTATGAGTATTTTGCCTGCATGCATAAAAGTGTACCTGTACATGTTGTGACTGTGGAGGCCAAAAGAGGGCAGCAGAGCCCCAGAACTGGAATTAAGGATGGGTGTTAGCCAGTGCTGAACCAGGGTCCTCTGCAAGAATAACCAGTGTTCTTAACCACTGAGCCATTTCTCCACCCCTGTTTTAAAATTTTTTATTTAGGGGCTGGAGAGATGGCTCAGCGGTTAAGAACACTGACCGCTCTTGCAGAGGACCTGGGTTCAATTCCCAGCACCCACATGGCAGCTATGAACCATCCTTAACTCCAGTTCCAGGGGAATCCGAAGCCCTCTTCTGGCCTCCACGGCATTGTACAGCACGGGTGCACTCACATATATGCAGGCAATACACTCATACACATAAAATAAAAATAATGAGTAAAATATTTAAAATAATTTATTTAAAAATATATTTAAAATTTTATGTGTGTGAGTGTGTTGCCTGCATGTGTGTAAGGACACCCATATTGTGCAGTGCCTGAGGTCAGAATTACTCCTGTACAAGAGTAGCCAGTGAGTGCTCTTAACCACTGGGCCAACTCTCCAGACCCAACGTCTTGAAGATTTATACCTTTGTTTTTGTCTATGTTTTATAGGTTTTGCTCTTAACTTAGGCTTAAGGCTAAATTTAACTTCAAAATTACTCTTAGCTTAGGGTAAAATAAGGGGCTTGAGAGATGGCTCAGTGGTTAAGGGACCCAAGAGAGAGCCAACTCTGGCAAGTTGTCTTCTGACCTCCACATGGCATTCTGCATAGTGTGCGTGATGTATACTAACAAAATAAATACATGTAAACACAAAATAAGGGGCTTGAGAGATGGCTCAGTGGTTAAGGGCACTGGCTGCTCTTGCAAAGGACCTGGGTTCCAGCACCCACATGGCAGCTAACAACTGTCCATAACTCCAGTTCCAGGGGATCTGACTCCCTCTTCTGACCTCCACAGGCATTGCACAACACAGGTGCACTTAAATGTAGGCAATAATACACTTATACATATAAAAACAAAAATAATAAAATATTTAAAAAAGAAAAAAACCCCAACTCCATACAATATAGAACCTAGTGAAGAAATTTATAGAGTAGAGATATGGTGCAGTGCTTGCTTGGCATGCTTGAGGCTCTGGGTTCAGTCTTTACTACCACAAAGAAAAGAGTTGTTTGTGTCAGAGAAGGCAGGATGGGCAATGTTGGATGGACAGACTTAGGAGAGTAAGGCTCCTCTTAAATCTTTAATTACTAAGAATGACATAAACTGATGTAGAGTCTTCTAGTTTGCAAATCAGAAAGATGACATATAATCATTGACTGTTCTTAAAACTTGAAGAGAGGCAGCTGAAACAAAACCATCCTTTCAGTGTCCTCTTGACATACTATTGAGAAACCAAAACAACCCCTGCCAGTTCTGTTCATTCCACTCAAAAAGCAGGATGAAGAAAATCAACAGATGGGTTATTTTAGTTTACTTTAGTTATCCTATGTGAGGAAAAATGTATTTTGATTAAGGATGAAGTCAGACTTGGGAGTGAATCTCACAGACTGGCTATGTGGACTTTGGGAATTATTTTTTCTTAGACATCAGTTTCCTTGTTTGTAAAATAGAAATTATGCAAATGCCTGCCCCATAGCACTGTTAGGAGGGTTAAGTGAAACAGGATGTATTCTGTCAGTATTAACAAACACTTAAAAGTAGCACTTATTCTAAGTTGATGATTATTTTTAATATTTAAGGGTTGAGATTGTAGCTCAGTGCACACACACAAATTCAGAAGAGACGAGACTGCCTTATTCTCTCATCTGTTTTTTTTTTTTTTTCTTGGCTTTTGGTTTGGTTGATATTTTAACTCCAAGTTTAATAAAGTGATCAGAGCTCAGTGTGGTGGCACATGCCCAGTTCTCTGTGAGTTCAAGGCCAGACTGGTCTACATAGCAAGTTCCAGGTGAGCCAGGGCTACAGGGTGAGATCCTGTCTAAAATAAAAAAAAGGTGGTCAATCAGTTTAATTCTTTTTATAAGATGAATTATAGTTACTAGCTTGTTTGTTCTGTTGTACTTAGTTCTTGTTTAATTTTTTTGCATAAAGCTGGAATTGATGTAAATGTGGTCATGCTTCAGGAGTCCCAAGATTATATTATGAATATCAGTCAACAATTCTGTTATAAAAACGTACTTATCCCAAAGTGGCATGACGTCTGGACACGAATACAGGTAATTGGAAACCCCTCCATCTCAGCTCTCCTTTACTGGTTTACAGTGCTGTGATCCTGAGGTCAGCTTTCTTTCTCCCTCCTTTCCCTGAATCCCCAAAGAAACTACTTTCTTCTTTTTGCTTTCTTTCTTTTGCAGTACACACACATACATACACACATACACACGCACACACACACATACACACGTGTGTGCACACCCACACATTTTTTGTTTGTTTTTAACACAAATGTCTTGTGTCTTCTTTGGGATAGAAACTGTGGTGTGCCTGATTGGGTATAAACTCTCTTGTCTTGTGGTTCCCATTCTATTTTGATTCTGTAAGAGATGCTTAATAAACCTTGAGCTGAAGTTTCTGCTTGGTAGAATGACTTTGGTCTCATTTATTTCATAAGACCGTTAAGTCGCCTGGCAAGCACGAGTGTCTGGCTATAATAGTGATTGAATGAAATGAGTCCTTTCGATAATGCTGCTGCTGTAAGTATGGTTACTAATAAAGGTCTTTGTTGTTCACATTAAAAACATGAGAGTTAGGCTTGTGGGTTTTTAAAATTCTTTTGGTTGTTGTTGTCTGTTATAAAACTCATACTCTATCTGGGACATATAGCCAACTTTTATCCATAATCAGTGATTTGTGACAATGGGGTTGAACTTCTCAGCCTGTCACTATGGGAAACATTTTCAGTTTTCTAGAGCTGTTTATGACTGGCAATTTTCTAAGTATTCTAGATCCTTGCTTTGTATGATCTCGTAAATAGCTGTATTGATAACTCTTTCAGCTTGGAACACCTCTTCCAGTTGGGCCCCCCCCCCCCCCCATTTTCTGGCCTGATAGTAGATTCATATCATGTTAACAAGAGAACATTGTAACAGCTGCCTGTGTACCATGAACAGTATTATTTGCCCAATTATATTTTTGCTACTGTATCTGTATATTTCTAGCTAGCTTTGTGGGAAACTGACAGCATTACTAATTTAGCTATTTAAGGTTTTTAAAAATTCTGTTTATGAAAATTTCCTGCTTCCTTTATTCTCATCCTAATTTCACTTATGTTACAGGTCCGGGTAAATAGTTCCAGGTTGGTCCGAGTCACCCAGGTGGACAATGAGGAGAAACTGAAGGAGCTAGAGCAGTTTAGTATCTGGAACTTTTTTTCTTCTTTCTTAAAAGAGAAACTGAACGACACCTATGTTAATGTGGGTCTATCCAGCACAAAAACCTGCCTCAAAGTTGAGATTATAGAGAAGGAGACCAAATACAGTGTCATTGTGACCCGGAGTAAGTCTCACCTCTGTTTTTCTGATGGATTCTATAGTGAGATGGGACAGAAATTTGGAGGGTTTAATTAGTGAGATAGAGAAGTCAGCCTAAGACAATTCCATTTTGATTCCAGTTAGCTTGTAGAGACTCTACCCCATATCAGACTGTTTAGGCCTAGAATTAAGACTATCTCAGTACCTTGTTCCCTAAAATTGGGAAGACTTATATTCCTGATCCTGTCTATGGCCCTGAACTGATATGCTTAGTACTCTTAGAATCAATCAGTCAGTTGTGTTCCTGCCTTCTGGACATTTCTAGACAAAGGTAATTGTACTGCCACGTACGGGCCTGAAGACAGGAAGATCAAACAATAAAATTCACAGAAAGAGTGTCTGCAACCATAATTAAAGATTCATACTACTTAGTTTAGGACTTTTCAATGTATCTGTCTGATAGTATTAGAGAAAGTTTTAGAAGTGGTGGAATTTGTTGAATCCTGACTTGGGTTTTCCTTGGTTATCACCTAGGGTTCTGTAGCAGGCATGCTTCTAGGTTTTGCAACAGAAATAGGTTATGCCCTTCTGATTGTCCTGGGGTTGTACAGCTGTGTAGGATTTGTTGTCTTTCAGTGTTCCTTTTATAGTTAGTTATCCCACTAGCTTCTGTCTATTTCTAGGCCTTCCTTCATCTCAGCTTTTGAATGTAAAAACTGTGGGAATCACTGATGTGCCACTAAGTTCTCTGCTTGGGCCCCTGGTCCTGGGTGAGAGATATTTGGCAGGTAGGCTGTTTTCCAGCACAGTGCTGTGTAGTTAAGGAAAGTAGAAGGTGAAGGTGTGGTTAGGCAAGAAAAGCAGACAGTTAGAGGACATGAGGCCTAGATTCAAGTTCCAGGTCTGTCTCCTGAATTCCCTGCCTGTGAGTGACCTAAGGTTCTGAAGCCAAAGTGGTAAAGACCCCTTGTGGGCAGTTGTATGAAGTGTTGATGGCACCATGTCCAGCTTCGTCCAGAGTGAAGCTAGTTTCTTTTATCCTTAGTACAGGAAGCCAAAATAGAAATAAGATCTCTAGGAAGATACAGGTTAGACAGAGATCTAATTATACTCCGTCTTTGGAAGGATGCCTAGGATTTTTGTGGTATTTACAGTGCCATTCACATGGGCTATTTTCTTTACTGTGGTTGACCAATAATACCATTGTTGCTTTTTTTTTTTTTTTTTTTTTTTTTTTTTTCCCGTCTTTTTGAGACAGGCTCTCCCTGTAGCCCCAGCTGTCCTGGAGCTCACTATGTAGACCAGGCTGGCCTTGAACTCACAGAGATCCGCCTGCCTCTGCCTCCCAAGTGCTAGGATTAAAGGCATGCACCACCATGCCTGGCCATTGTTGCCTTTTATAATACCTTTAACTATTTGGTTCTTCTATTAAACAAAAATTTTTTTAATTTCAGGATTTGACCCCAAACTCTTCCTCATTTTCCTCCTTGGACTGACACTATTTTTTTGTGGAGACTTGCTGAGCAGGTAGGTTCTAAAGCTAGTGTGCACATGTCAAGGCTTGGGCTCATACTGCTAGACTCATAAAACTGTAAGTACGGCTCTTCTCTCCTCCAAGAGCTCTGTGGCTTAGATATTGCCTATTTGGATATTTTAAAGATTTATTTGTTTGTTTGTTTACTTATTTTTTTGATCTTTTTGAGACAGGGTCTCCCTGTAGCCCCAGCTGACCTGCAACTCACTATGTAGACCAGGCTGGTCTTGAACTCACAAAGATCTGTCTGCCTCTGCCTCCCAAGTCCTGGGATTAAAGGCGTGTGCCATCACCCCCAGTTTATTTAATTAATTTTAAAATTTATGTGTATCTATCTATGTTTGTGTATGTGCATGTATGTGTGTATATATATGGTGCTTGTGAAGGCCAGAAGAGGGTGTTGGATCCCCTGAAACTGGAATTATAGATGGGTGTGAGCTGCCTGATGTAGGTGTTAGGAACTGAGCTCAAGTCCTCTGGAAGAGCAGCAAGCACTCTTTTTTTTTTTTTTTTTTTTGGTCTTTTTGAGACAGGGTCTCCCTGTAGCCCCAGCTGTCCTGGAACTCACTATGTAGACCACGCTGGCCTTGAACTCACAGAGAACCGCCTGCCTCTGCCTCCCCAGTACTGGGATTAAAGGCGTGCACCACCATTCCCAGCTCTTTTTTTTAATGTATATTTTTTATTTAATTTTTGTGGATTTCATGCAATACATTTAATCATATTTAGACCTCCCTATCTGCAGTCTGCAGCCCCCACTTCCATAGCCTGCCCACAGAATTCCACACACTCTGTCTTATATGTTAAAGCCTATCAAGTCAAGTTTTTGTGTACCCAGCTGTCTTGGTACGAGTTCATCCTCTGGAGCCTGTTCAGCCTATCTAGGATTACTCCCTTGAAGATCACTTACCCAGCAGTGATCAGCTGCCTATAGCTACTTGGCTAAGGTTGGGGCCTTCTGCCCATTTCCCCAAGTTCTTTGCTGGTTTTTATCAGATTGAGTTTGCATGGATCTTGTACATGCTGCCACCATTGCCCTAAGTTCCTATGAGCAAGTTCCCAGGGGCCTGTAAGACCATTTCCTAATGGTCAAGCACCATCCCTGGTTTTTAGAATCTTTCCACCCCCTCTTCCACAATAGTCCCTGAGCTCTGGGTAGGTGAGATTTAATAGAAAAGTCCTATCCAGGGTCGCACACTCTACAGCCTCTTATTCTCTACACTTTGGCCAGTTGTGACGTTTTGTGTTCATCACCCTGTGTTGTATGAGGAACCTTCACTGATGAGAGTTGAGAGATGCATTAATATTCTCTCTACCTCTTGTTCCACTATGTTCCGTGGGCCACAGTTGTAGAGGTTCCATTGTTAATGTGTCTCTTAGGGTTGGGCATCTCACAGATACTTATTCTCTGCATGTGACCAATGGTGGATCTCTGTAATAGACTTTGTCTGTTGCAAAAGAAGCTTCTTTGATGAGTAGTGATTGGTATACTTGTATATAAGGATTTGGTGCTAACATTCACAGATGAGAGAGAACATACATATATATCACTTGTTCATCTCAGTCTGTGTTATTTCACATAGTAAAACAGTTCCATCCATTTCCCTGCAAATTTCATGATTTTGTCTGTCTTTACCACTGAGTAGAGTGCCATTGTGTAAATGTACCACATTTTCATTATCCATTCATCAGTTAAGGGACACTTAAGTTTTTTCAATTTCTTAGCTATTGTGGGAAGAACAACAACAAACATGGATGTACAAGTGTCTCTACAGTAGGATGAGTCCTTTGGGTTTATGCCAAGAAGTGGTATAACCAGGTCAAATGGTAGATTCATTTTTAGTTTTTAAGAGTTCTTCATACTGCTTGCCATAGTGGTTGCACATGTTTACATTCCCACCAGTAGTGAATGAGCATTCCTCTTTCCCCACATCCTCGCCAGCATTTGGTATCATTTGTTCTCTTGATCTTAACCAGTCTGACTAGGATAAGATGAAATCTCAAAGTGGTTTTGATTTTCATTACCCTAGTTACTAAGGATGTTGAACACATTTTAAGGTGTTTCTTAACCATTTTTTGTTTCTTCTTTTGAGAACCCTCTGTTCAGATCATAGCTCATTTTTTAAAATTGGGTCATTTGTTTTCTTGAAATCTTGTTTTTGCGTTCTTCGTATATTCTGGATATTAATCCTCTGTTGGATGTGTAGCAGGTGAAGATTTTCTCCCACTCTGGGTTTTCTCTTCACTTCCTTGTTTGTTTCTTTTGCTGTACAGAAGCTTTTTAGTTTAAGTTGATTGTGGACCTTAATTCCTGAGCAACTGATGTCCAATTTAGAAAGTCCTTTCCTACATCTATATCTTGTAGCGTACTACCTATGTTTTCTTTTAACAGTTTCAGAGTTTCAGGTTTTACATTGAGGTCTTTGATCTATTTGGAGTTGACTTTTGTGCAGGGCGATAGATGAGTCTGGTTTCATTTTTCTGCAGGTGGCGATCCAGTTTTGCCAGCACTTTTTGTTGAAGATGCTGTCTTTCTTCCAGTGTGTTCTTGGCACCTTTGTCAAATATCAGGTGACTGAAATTGCAGGCAGTCATGTTTGGGTCTTCTGTTATGTTCCATTGATCTATGTGTCTGTTTCTCTGCCAGTACCATGCTGTTTTTATGACGATAGCCTTGTAATATGGTTTGAGATCCAGAATTGTAATCCCCGCCCCAGCATTGTTCTTTGTGCTCAAGATTGCTTTGGCTAGCTGGGGTCTTTTGTGATTCTATATGAATTTTAGGATTTTTTTTCTAATTCTTTGAAGAATGTCATGGGGATTTTGATTGGCATTGCATTGATTCTATAAATTGCTTTTGGTAGGATGGGCATTTTCACAATATTAATTCTACTAGTTCATGTTCAGGGAAAGTCTTTCATCTCCTGTGTCTTCCTCAATCTCTTTGTTCAAGGATTTAAAATTTTCATTGTAGAGATCTCTAATGTTTTTGGTCTCTAGGCTATTGTGAATTGGAGAGTTTCCATGAGCACTTTCTCAGATTGCTTGTTACTGACATATAGAAAGGCTACTGGTTTTTGTAAATTTTTAAGAAATATTTATTATTTTTATTTTATGTGTACAAGTGTATTGCCTGCATGTATGTAAATGCACCCATGTTGTGCAATGCTGAGGAGGTCAGAAGAGGGGTTGGATTCCCCTAGAACTGGAGATAATGACGGTTCCTAGCTGCCATGTGGTGCTGGGAATCAAATCCAGGTCCTCTGCAAGAACAGTCAGTGCTCTTAACCACTGAGCCATCTCTCCAGCCATCTTTCCAGACCCTTAAACTTATTTTTTAACCTGCCACTTCAGCCAGCACTTTTTTTTTTAATTGTTTTTATTTTATGTGTATGAGTGTTATGTCTGCATGTAGGTAAGTACACCCATGTCGTACAATGCCTGCGGAGGACAGAAGAGGCTCTCGGATCCCCTGGAACTGGAGTTATGGACAGTTGTTAGCTGCCATGTGGGTTCAGCCAGCACTTTTAACTGCTCAGTCATCCCTCCAATCCTGTTGGATATTTTTCAAATGCTTTTTAGAAAAATTAATTCATTTTTATTACATGTATGAGTGTTTTGCCTGCATGTATATAAGTGCACCTGTGTTGCGCAGTGCCTGCAGAGGCCAGAAGAAGGTGTCAGATCCCCTGGAACTGCAGGTACAAATGGTTGTTAGCCACATGTGGGTGCTGGGACTTCAACTTGGGTCCTCTCAAAGAGTAGACAGTGCTCTTGACAACTGAGCCATCTCTCCAGCCAATATTTTCCAAATACTTTTAATATTTGATACTATGTTTTTTTTCTCTGTTTTGAATATGATTGTCAATAAGTTTTCTCATTAGATAGTTCCCATTATTAGTTCAATAGTAGTTACCCAATAGTATAAAGTTGACCATCAAGTTAGAAGTAAGGCTATTTTATAGATTGGTACAATGAAGTTGCTGCTGGATTATACATTCATTTTATTTATTTATTTATTTATTTGTTTATTTACTTATGTGTATATTTATTTTGGTCTTTTTGAGACAGGGTCTCCTTGTAGTCCTACCTGGCCTGGCATTTGCTATGTAGACCAGACTGGCCTTGATCTCAAAGAGCTCCAACCTGCCTCCACCTCCCTAGTCCTGGGACTAAAGGCTGTGTGCCACCACGCCTAGCTTTACATTCATGAGTTTATGATGTTCAGTTATAAGGAGAAAAACATCAATTAATTGTTCTTTTAAAAAAAAAAAAAGACAGGGTCTCACAGGTACTAGAGCGATGACTCAGTGGTTAAGAGCACTGGTTGCTCTTGTAAAGACCCAGGTTCGGTTTTGAGTATCCATGTGGTGGGTAATAGCCATCTATAACTCCAGTTCCAGGGGATCTGATGCCCTCTACTGACCTTCACAGGCACTGTATGCAAGCGGTGCACTTCCATACATACAGATAAAACACTGGTAAGTGTAAAATAGAAATTAAAAAATAAAAATAGAAACGAACCATACTGGGTCTCACTATGTAGCCCTGACTAGCCTGGAACTCAGTATGAGACCAAACTAGTGTCAAACTCCCAGCTCTGCCTGCATCTGTCTCCTGAGTGCTGAAAATAAAGGTGTGCACTGCCATGCTTGGCTTTTTTTCCATTTTTCCCCCTTCGTCTTCCCTGCAGCACCGGCTGGCCCAGGACTTTGGAGCTCACTATGTAGACTATGTTGGCCTCGATCTCATAGAGATCTGCCTGCCTCTGCCTCACAGAGTACTCGGATTAAAGACGTATGCCACCATGCTGCTACACCTGGCTTTTAAAAATTTATTTTTATATGTATGAGTGTTTTGCCTACATGTAGGTAAATGCACCACTTGCATGCAGTGCTTGTGGAGGCCAGAAAAGGGTGTCAGATTCCTGGAACTGGATTTACAGATGGTTGTTAGTTACCATGTGGATCTTGGGAACTGAACCTAGCTTCTCTACAAGAACAGCCAATGCTCTTAACCACCGAGCATCATTCCAACCCATTTCTTTTTCTTTTAAAAACCTGCTAGCTGTGATAGGTAAAACCAACATGCACAAATATAAAGAAAATATATAGATAATCAAACATTGAGTGTTTCTAGAATCAACATTAAGTTTGTGAATGAAAGGCCAACAATTAGAATTTGAAACTGAGCTGAATTGGGCTTGAAAGAAGTTGTTCCTTATTTTTGGGCTCCTGAGAGAAGCTCATATCCATGGAGGAATAGCTGGTAGTGCTTGGAATGATAGTAGGACCTCTGTTCTTGGCTCTGTGCTCGGCCCCACGAAGGATCTGTTGGTACTTCTGGATAAGTCAGTTCACTTTCCGATCTTGGTTTGGGCTTGTTCCTGTTTCTTCTTTCTCCCCAGTGAAGCTATGCAGCTCCTCAGAGAATGAGTCCTTTTTAAAATGTTTCTTAGCTCCCAGCACTCAGGGGGCAGAGGCAAGCGGATCTCTGTGAGTTCAAGGCCATCTTGGTCTACATAGTGAGTTCCAGGCCAGCTGGGGCTACAGGGAGACCCTGTCTCAAAAAGACCAAAAAAAAAAAAAGTTTCTTAGCATATATTCCTTGTATAACAGTGGGCTGCATTATGACATGCTCATACATGTACATAATTAATTTTGATATATTCACCCTATTACCCTCTTTTGTCCTCCTCCCACTTCTGCCAGCCCCCTCCTGTTCTACCTAGCCTCCGTTCAACTTTCATGCCCTCCCCTCTTTTCTTGTGGCTCAGTGAGTTTTTTTAGGATTGTTTTCAAGAGCATAGGCACCTTACCAGTGGCTCCACTGCTGAAAACAATGTCTCTTTCTCTCCCGTCAACCGTTAACCTGTACATAAAACCTTGAGGAGTGGGCTCCGTGAGACCTTCCCCTACCATGACAGGGTGTTGATGGGCCCAATCTTGGGCAGGTTTTCAAGAGTTGCTGAGAGTTCCAGAGAACAGCATCTCTGTCTTACCTGGCACTCAGGGGTTCATGCCATGCCTCCTCTTTCCTCCAGCCCTTAATTCTTTCTGATCCTTCCACAATGTTCCCTGAGCCTTGGAGAGGATGATCTAGATGTCCCTTTTGTGGTTGGGCATTCAGTAGTCACTCATTCTCAGTAATTTGACTGGTTATGAGTCTCTGTAGTCATTACTACCACTGTGAAGAAGCTTCTCCAACTAAAGCTGGCAGCAACACTTATCTTGGGCACAAGCAGTTATTTAGAAGGTGATTTGATGGGCACATGATGTTCATTTAGCAAAACAGCCAGTAGTTTCCCCACTTGAGCTCATGAACTCCCTAGCCAAGGGCTTTTTTAAGTTTTAATTTTTTTGTGTATGAGTGTATTGCTTACATGTAAGTGAGTGCAACCATGTCATGCAGTGCCCGTAGAGGTCAGAAGAGGGCATCGGATTCCTCTGGAACTGGTGTTATGGAGGATTGTTAGCCACCATGTGGGTGTTGGATCCTCTGCAAGAGCAGCCAGTGCTCTAACCATTGAGCCATCTCTCCAGCCCCAAGCTTTTTTTTTTTAACCAAACTTTTTTTTCCATTTTTATCTTTAAGTGTATGTATGTATGTATACATGCATGCACGTGTGTGTCTTGTTTGTGGGTATGTGCATCTGAGTACAGGTGCCCTCAGAAGTCAGAGGCATCAGATCCTCTAGGAGCTGGAGTCATAGGTGGTTGTGAACTGACCCGATGTGGTTGCTGGGAATTGAACTCAGATCCTCTGTAAGAGCAGTCTCTCCAGTCCCTAGCTGGGTTTATAGTACCAGGTATCAATTCTGTTCTGTGGAATGGGTATTAGATCCAGTCAGAAAGTGATTGGTTACCCTCAAAACAGACTTGCCACTGTTGCCCAGTGTGCTTGTCTTGCCTGACAGTCAGTGCTGTTGCACAGAGTCCACAGTTGAGTAAGACTGTTGATGGCAGTTCTCCCCAGCAGTCTGCATAGAACCTTCTGACGCTATAGGGGCTAGCCAGCAGGGAGGAAGCTTTCAGCCCAGTTCCAGCTGTGGTATAGAAAAAATCTTCTTATTAACAGTTGGTTTGGAGGGAGGTGGGGATAGGAGAGAGAGTTGAAAGAATTGTACTAATACTAATCTTCATAGACTGCCAGCAACTGCGTTGTGTAATACTATAGTTCTATGGCCTTAAATCTTGGGCAAATTCTTCCTCTAATATTGAAATTTAAAAAAAAAAATCTTTTAATTAGGTTAGTTATTCTAATTAATTTCAGCAATGCTTTGTATGAACTGTAATTGAAAAATATTTTCTCTCTGCAGAAGTCAGTTTTTCTACTATTCCACTGGGATGAGTGTAGGGATTGTGGCCTCACTATTAATCATCATTTTTATACTATCCAAGTTTATGCCCAAGGTAAGTAGTAGAATTCCTCCTGTATAGTTAAGATAAGCTTAGCTGTGGGATTGTTTTCTTGGGTAATTGTAGAACACTGAAAATTTGCATTGATGACTGGTGAGTCAGTGTCTGTCCTGGTCTCTTTGGTTCTGAAAAACACTTGCTATAAGACTGAGAGCCTAATTATATATAAACTCTTTATTTAAATCATGTGCTTAGTGGAGATTTAAAGTCACCTTTCTGTTTTCTAATTAGCCAGGCTTTAAGTTACTTAGAGTCTCATCTTCCTGGTGCTCCTTACAGACTGTACCTTTTTGGATATAAAACACATCTTTTTAAGAGATGAGGTTTTGTGCATTTGAGTAGGTTTAATTTTAAGAAAAAAAATCATGCTTCTCTTATATAGAGGAAGTCTTGTAACTTTTTGCCTTCACTTGTACTCTCTCTAGAAAAGCCCCATTTATGTCATCCTGGTAGGAGGCTGGTCCTTTTCTCTGTACCTCATTCAACTCGTTTTTAAGAATTTACAAGAGATCTGGAGGTGTTACTGGCAATATCTTCTAAGTAAGTATTGTTGATTTTGATTACCTCTTTGCATATTTATAGGCTGTTTTGGTTAATTTGATTGGGAAAAAATGTTGCCTCTAATAAGGAGTTAGTAGTTAATATCATTTGAGTAACTTGTAAAAATCAGTTTTCTGCTTATTTTTAATGCCACTATCCCTTTCATCATCTTTTAAACTAAAATGCTGTTAATAAGGAGAAAACTTTAATTTACTGGTGTTTATATAATAAGCATCTTTTTGAAGAGCTGTAAATAAACTTTATTATCTTATTTTAAATATGCTTGGGGACCTTGAGAAGTGATACTACAGTGAATCTTTTATAAAATGAGAATCCTTTGGTCACACTGAAACTTTTTTTTTTCCAGATAGGAACTCTTGATGTATCATTTGAGAAGTGATTAATATGGATTTTTATATTTGTGGATTAAAATATACTTTCAGAATTGTTCAGTGTATAGCTTTTAAAAAAAAATTATTTCTGTTTTTAATTATGTGTGTGTGTGCCTGCCTGTGTGTGGATATGTGCATGTGAGTATGGGCATCATATCTTCTGGAGCTGGGGTGGTTGTAAACCAACCGACATGGGTGCTGGGAACCTAACTTGGGTCCTCTTCAAGAACAGTGCACACTCTTTAACTGCTGACCCACGTTGCCAGGTGCCATCATGTAGCTTTAATATTCAACTTGAACCAAGTAAATTTGTAACAAAAAGTATAGGAGTGATAAATATATGTATGTGAAAAACAGTGAATAAAATTTATTTTCTGAAAATAAAACAAGTAGGAATAATTGAGTAAAAGATCTTGTTCAATTTCCTGGTTCAATAGATGCTATCTAGTGAATTTACTACTACTTTTCACACACTAGCGAAAAAGAATGTATAATTAAAAAAGAATGTCTTCTGGCAATTCTTCTCATAGGCTACATCCTCACAGTTGGATTCATGAGTTTTGCAGTGTGCTACAAGTACGGGCCTTTGGAGAATGAACGAAGCATCAACTTGTTGACCTGGACATTGCAGCTGATGGGCCTGGGCTTCATGTATTCTAGCATTCAGATACCGCACATTGCGTTTGCTCTTATTGTCATTGCATTGTGTACTAAGAACCTGGAGTACCCTATTCATTGGCTGTACATCACCTACAGGTGACTAAAAGGCAGTGTAACTTTGTATTGACATGTGAGATGTGGTATGCAGTTTGCAGCAAAAGGGCATAGTGGTTTTTCCTTGGGAGTCCTTGTAATGAGAAGTTACTTTCTATCTACCTTTGTTCTTCCTGAGTCTATTATTTTTTATAAAATAAAAGCATCCAGTAATGTGTCATGTGTTCCTGTTACCACTAGGTGGTACAAATTATAGTTTTTGTTTTTGTTTTTAAATACCATAGGCTTTAGGTCACTGGTTTCAGATTGTTTCACACTGGCTTTCAGATTGCTCTAGAAATCCTGGCCTTATTTTAAGATGTAATTCATAGTGTTATTACCTTGCATAGTGAACATGGAATGGTCCTGGATTCTGAGGTTATCAGTGGTTGTTCCGTTGCAGATAATCAAAATGATATCTTCAGCTTGAGGAATTGAGTTCATGGACCACAATATTATAACATCATTTTATTGTTTTTCCATTTACTGGAAAATAAATATTTGTCATTTATTGGGAAATAAGTGAGTTTATGCACAGTAGTGAGTAATATTGTCTACTCTGGCTTTTCACGCATAGTCTGGTGTGTCAGGAGTTCACTGTAGTGAAAGAAGTGCATGGAAGGAAGGTGGAAGTGATGACTCTGTTTAGTCTGCCTGGTTTATGCTTGGTCTCCTGAAGCGAGCTAGAGGTAAGGATGAATATAGGTTACTGATTACTGATTCCTGGTGTTATTTTGGTGAGCACAGAAAGATGAGTAAGGCAACAGAAAAGCCAGTTCCCCCTCGCCTCCTGACAGAAGAGGAGTATCGGATACAAGGAGAGGTGGAGACCCAAAAGGCTTTGCAGAACCTCCGAGCATTTTGTAACAGTCCAGACTGCTCTGCCTGGAAGACTATTTCTCGAATCCAATCTCCAAAAAGGTAAACTTTTGGCTAGATAAACCAGGTGTCTCTGGGTAGTTAATGACCTTGAATTCTAACAGAGATCATACTTCAAGATAACTATATTGTATTTATGCCCTTTGATTACTGCTAATCTAGGAGTAGTCAAGAGAAAGTTAGCTACAGTGTCATGAATTAAGCAATGATTTATTTCCTGTTTCTCCAAGAGAGCTACCTCCTTATTTTATTATAATATGAAGATTCCAGTACCATATTTAGTTTTCCCCCTGTAAGTTTGACATTGCTGTCTCAGTTGACACCCCGCCCCCCCTTTGGTTGGGAGCAATTGTACCAAAGGGTATGTGAACTTTCAGTTTGGAATCATGATAGCATATAGTTTATAGGACCATAAACACAGAGAACTATAATGTCCCAATCTTATCAGAAATATGGTGACTCAAGAAACCTAAGCACTTTGTAACTGAAAAGGACAGCCTTGTGCTTGTCAAGCAGGATGAGATTGCAGAGGATATTGGCCTGTGATCCCAGCTTAGTTTCCTGCCTATTTTTTGCTTCAATCTATCTACCCATCTGCCCAAGTGAGGATGGTCATTTCAACTAGACTCAGTATAATTTGAGCTGATAGCATGTCAAGCATTTGTTTTTATTTTGAAAGCTATTCAGAAAGGACAGAAGGCAGATTCCTAATGAATATTCCTCTCTTTTTCCAGATTTGCAGACTTTGTGGAAGGTTCTTTCCACCTCACGCCAAATGAAGTTTCTGTCCATGAGCAGGAGTATGGATTAGGGAGCATTATTGCCCAGGATGAGGAACTTTCCTCTGAGGAGGAGGACTCAGATTATCAGTGCCCCACTGTCACACAGAAAACTTCCTGATTTAGGTGGCAGTTAGTTACTTTCTTGTAGACTGGCTTGATGCCTTGATGGTCCATGTTGTAAGTGCTGTGCGGTTCTTCCTGGACTTTATAGCAGGCAGAATGTGGTGCAGAAGTTGCTGCAATGAGAGGACAGTGGTCAGTGATCTTGGTGGTCTTCAAGGGATCTTTGAGGACAGAGTGGAGAAAGCAGTGAATGCTGTGGCGGTTTGCTTCTGTCGATATTGGTCTACTTTTCTGTTCCTAAAGAAATTAGATGGCCACAGCCCACACAACATTTAGCTCCTGCCTGAAAGTTGGTTCAATCATGGCAACTCAGTCACTGTAGCTAACCCTCAAAAGTGAGTATTAAGTGCAGTAATGCTTTCAGGTCACAGGCTGCTGCATCTGCTAGAGCGAAATCTGCAAATCTGAGTCACCTTCTGTTTGCTTCTATTTCAGCTGCTTTTTGGAATAATTCTTAGCTATTGAGAGAAAATGGATTTTTGCCTATCTTGTTTTTTAAACAGATTCTTAAAAATGGAACAAATTAAGCTGGGCTTGGTGGTGCATGCCTTTAATTCCAGCACTCGGGAGGCAGAGGTTTATCCCGACCTAGTTGGATCTCAGTGAGACTGAGGCCAGCCTGGTCTCCATAATGAGTTTCAGGACAACTGGGGCTATAGGGAGACCTTGTCTTTAAAAAAAAAGGGAACAATGCCGGGAGTGGTGGTGCACACCTTTAATCCCAGCATTTGGGAGGCAGAAGCAGGTGGATCTCTGTGAGTTCAAGGCCAGCCTGGTCTACATAGAGAGTTCCAGGACAGCTGGGGCTACAGGGAGACCCTGTCTCAAAAAAAAAAAAAAAAAAAGAACCAAAAAAAAAATTCACATTCTAGAATCAATAAGGGTGCCAGAGTGATAAGCCTTATTGGACCCTCAATATTTATTAATATGGATTATCCATGAAAACCCCAGGAGCTGTTGTTTGAACTTTGAATTCTCATACATGTACTATTCTGAGTTGTGCTTACATTAGGAAAATGTCTGTAGGTTAGGTCTCCTAAGCTTTTATTATATCCCACATATGCATTTTCTTTTTCCCCATTCCTCACTGCCCACTTTTCCTGCTTAGAAAGGCTCTGTTTGCTTTCTGTGGTGTGTTTTATTCAGTTTATCTTAGTTCACTCTCTCCTTTTTTCTAGTTGTTCTCTACTGCCTCTTTTTCCCTGAAACATTGAAGGCCCCTTTATTTCTGGCCATTTTGTTTTTCCTTTTTCTTTCTTTTTGATTCAGGATTTTGCTGTGCAACTCAGATGGGTCTTAAACTCCCAATCCTTTTACCTTGGCCTTGCACTGCCAAAATTAGTGACCTAGACTGCCATGTCACACTTCTCATTTCTTTTCCCCTTCTGCTTGGTTTCTACATAATTCCTGCCAGCTAGGAAGAGAGATCTTGTTTACCTCATTGTTTTTCTGTCAGATCGCATATCTTTGTGTTACTAAGGAATCAAATTATCTCAGGGTTGGGAATGTAGCTTAGTGGTAGAGCACTTGTTGGCCTACCACTCAAGGCCCTGGTCAGATCTCCAGCACCACACACATGCACTCACGCACCAAGAAACCAGACAAACAAAACCAAAACAACAAAGTACAGTAGTCTATCTCCTGCCCTTCCCTCCCCTTATAGACCAGTTCAGTCCATTCAGCCTTCCTCACTACTTGAATCTCCCAAATCTGGCTAATTTGTAAGTCCTGAAACCACCTATTAAGTGTCTTCCTATATATATATGTATAGCTTTAGTTGTACAGCTGCCACAGTTTGAATTGCAGTAAGTAGACCTCTAGGTGATATGCATGTCTCTAGATACTCATTCAGCCATCAGGCTCAGACACATTGCCCTCTTGAGTTTGCTATACTTTTTTGCGATTTCTGTTTCTGACAGAAATGCTGTCTTTTTTCAGTGGCACTAGTTTAGACTCCTTTGCTATTGGAAATACCCTTGGGAGCTAGCAGCATCACTTTATGAGAGAGCAGACTCCCAATTATCTGCCATGTGCTTGGTTCCCTCATTGTGGGAACTTGGAAGAAGTGTGTAATTTCTGTAATTCCTTCAACCGGGAATGTAGGTGCTCATGGCAAGTGCACAGCAGTAGACTTAGGATCATGGAGAAGGAAGATGATATTTTTTAAAAAGCTGTGATGATGACTCACACCAGCCATTTAGCATGTAATTTTGAAAGGCCTCAGCTCTATGGCTAACATCCAAAATGTCAGGTCTGAGATGCCCCTAGTCTAGGTCGATTATTTCAACCAGTGTTCTTCCTAGCCTTAAATTGTCCAAAAGTGACAACTACCTCAGTTGGCATGGGGTGATACAGTACAAGTGGAAAAATGAGTAGTTTTTGAGGAGATGCTATGGGTTAAAGCTGCAGAATACAAGGAGGTTTATACTGGGAAACATTTTGTCTTTGTGAATTATGTACATGGTAAAATTTTGTCCCCTTACAAAGAACTGTTAAAGTTTCTGAAAGGGTGGGGATGTAGCTTAGTGGTGGTAACTGCTTGTTTAGCATGTACCAGATGTGGCCTCAATCTGTGGCCCATAAAAATAAGACCCACTACTAACAACAAAAAGCTTTCCAGAATGCACTATTTCAAAATCTTATTTCTGAAAATTGATACCTAGCATATTTGAATGTAATTGAATTGAAAAAATAATTCAACTCTATAAGTGATCTTAGAGTTCTTGGGAGACCTGGGTGCCTTTCCCCAGTTACCCCTTATAGACTTGGTAGCTTGCCTCCAGGGTGAGCTTTTTCTGACTTACATCTTTATTTTAGTGAGAAATCACTGTGAAGTCAGGAATGATTTTCCTCTTCTGTGTGGTAAACTCCTTGTGGCATATAGTTTTCATTTCAAGACCATTTTTTTTCCTCCATATTTGAATTTGGGGTGAGTAAAACCCTATTCATTTTATTACTCCCTGTCTGGTAGTTGGAGAATTGAGTGGCATGAGACTTGTTCTCAGACAGTGAAGGACAGCGCCTGCCTCTTTGTGTGCTGTATGTCCTTACCCTGCCTGCTGTGTGACTCTGCCTAGACGCTTCAGAGCTTCCACGTACCTGGAGATTGCTCAACTCTGTAAGCTTTCTTTAGGAACCACTTTTGTCTCCTTCTTGGCCTCTTAGTCTGCTGGCTTAGTCACTACTTGAAGCCCCTATTTAATTTTCTCTGGCAATTTCAGCTCATGCAATTTCAGCATCATCTTGTCTCTCAGACCGATTTCATCAAGGATTGAAGGGATAACGGGTGAGCTGGATGGACACTGGAGCCATGTCTGCTGCCATGTCAGCATCTTGCTCAGCAAATATCATGCTGTAAATTGGTTTCAAGGCTCGGGGCCTCATCAGCATTGGAAATCTATTGCTTCTAATCGGTCTGACCTGAGTTATATAGAACATGACCCCCATTAATGGATGTACAAGAGGCAATTGGCCTAAAACTTTTCTTTCTCCCTTCCCACATGACAGCAACAGAACACAGTGACCAAAGCCAAGAAAAATTTAGCTGCTTTGATAACTTTGATACCTTGTAATAAGAAAAAAAGGAGTTTCTCCTTCCCTCTCCCCACTACTCTTTTATGTCTGTTAACAATGGTGATTTTGCTGATGATGGTTCTTTGGGTCCCATGGTTCCATTTACCATATGTCCCATTCTAGTGCACAATCCTGTCTTGATCAGCTGTGTTCCCTTTTGCCCAGTCCCCACTTGGCATGTGTGATGGAGATTTGATGAATGAAAGGACCCAAATAGGCCAAAATCCCCCCAGGCCTTGATATCCATAAAAGGCTTAGGAATGGATTATGTAATTGCCTATAATCTTTTTGTTGTTCTGGAAAAATAGATGGTCTCAGACAGATGCCTGTGTAAAAATCTGAACCAGAAGAGGACAGTTGGACAGATGTACTGTGTCCTCATGTTGTGGGCACTGAGACCAAGGAATAAGTGTATGAAGTAGCCGTTGCACATGACAGATGTGCCTAAATCTTTTGCTTGTATCCAAGCAGAAAAATTGCTTTATTTAGGGAGGAACTTAAGCAATTGTGACAACCCAGTGGTATCTTAGTGACTTAACTGTGGATTCAGGTTGCTGTTGAACTGGAGTCTAGATGGTTACTACTTTATAAAGGTTGTTTGGAAGTCAGGTGTGGTAATGTACATTTGTTGTTCCTGTCCTTGGGAGGCTATGGTAACAGGATCACTTGTCTTGTTTAAAATCAGTGTCTCCTATTCTGAGACCTCCATCTCAGAATAGAAAGGAAAAGAAATAAAAGGGTATTTGGTGCCTTACATGGCAGGCAAAGCAGATCAACACTGGCTTGCAGCCTATTAGGGACAGGAATGATCACACAGACTCAAAAATGTGGCATTTTGGACTCACAGTCCTCCCATTTTTGTGTGTCGTCTTCCTTTGACACTATTTTTTTTCAGGGCGCAGGGTTGTTGAAACAAGGTGTCAGTCTGCAGCCCAAGCCGAACAGGAATTCACTATAGTACTCAGGCTGGCCTTGAACCCATGGCAGTCCTCTCTTCTGCTTCAGCCTCCTGAGTGCTGGAATTGCAGTATGAGCTACCATGCCCAGCTTTCTCTTTTACACTCTGGATGATAACTTGAAAATGCTGAACTCACTTTCTTCAAACTTGCTGAGAGCCATGAGTAGCCTTATCTTAACAGATAGCTCATAATGTGAATTTTTAAAACTGCTACAATCTGCAATTGCCACAGTTTTCCATGTTTATGGAATTGGTATTGAAATAACAGGGCTAAGAAATTACTAAGTAACTTTTAGCCTACAAATAATGCCTTAGTGTTATTTAGATAAAAGATTTGTCATTTATATTAAAATAATTGCTAATGAGTGTTTGAGAAGAACAGAAATATCAGGGATGCTCCTTGCCATGGGTCTTGTTTTCACCCACCTTTCTGTAAAAAAAAATATGTATTTTTTCATTTTTATTATATAACTTGTAAATAATCCCAATTTTAATAAAGTTTTATAGACTATACAATGGTCTCTTTTTTTTAATACCAAAAATTGTTTTGCATTTATTTATTTTGTGTGTGGGGGTATGGGGTGTGCACATGCTGCAGCCCACATGTGGAGGTCAGACGGGAGTTGACTCCTAGTATCAGGCTCCTTCCTTAACCAACTAAACTATCTCATCAGCCCTGGTCCCCGCCCCCCAAACACAAACTCCAGTATGGATTGCATGTTCTCAGGTAATCAGCAGTTAATACATCAATTTCATGTTTATGTATTTCCTTTTTTCCCTTAATCACACTTCTCTATCCTGAGACTATATTTGGGGCTGAGGATTTGAGACAAGGGCTCATGTAGCCCAGGCTGCCTCTGCCTTTGGAATGCTGGGATTACAGGCGTTAGCCATCATGTCCATTATGAACATGTAACATCTTAAATTGTAACATCTTAAAAAGTTAATACATCTGGCAAGATTGTTGACGGAATTGGTTTGAACAAATTGCTGCCCTCTCAACTTTATTAGAACTTAGTACCAAAGGATTTGGAATTGTTTCTTCATCATTGTCTTTCTCTTAGTTTAATTGGAGTGTAATTTTTTTTTTTTTTTTAAAGAAGGTGTTGTTTTTTTTTGAGATAGGGTCTCTCTGTAGCCCCAGCTGGCCTGGAACTTGCTATGCAGGCCAGGCTGGCCTTGATCTCTCAGAGTTCTGCCTGCCTCTGCCTCTGCTTCCCGAGTGCTAGGATTAAAGGTGTGCACCATAATGCCTAATTAAGTGTAATTTATATATACAGTAAAATTCTTAAATGTCTAGTTTTGCTGAGTTTTGACAAGTATAGTCAGTTGTATAACTACCACCACACTCATGATAGAGAACATTTTGATTATCCCCAAAGTTCCCTTGTATCCATTATATGGAGTAGACTTTATTCTGTTTTTCAGTGTTGGGGATCATATTCACAGCCTCATGTGCTAGCCAAGCACTCTGCCACTGAGCCACACCTCAATCCCTGGAGTAGACATTTGGATTGGGAACAAAGGAAGGTGATTTTAGGAGTTAGAGTGGAGGAACAAGGCAATAAGCTCCAGTTGCTTCCATTTAGTCTGGAGAGCAGATCACAGCGCTGTACCCACTCACTCCTCCTCCCTACCTCAAGGATGTTCTGGCAGATTTTGAAATCTCAGCTGACTTGGATGTGTGTTTTCTACACATTGTTAATTCAGAGTAATCCACTCATGACATTTTTCCTAGGTCTTCCCTAATTTTAACCCCCAAATTCACACCTTCGGTTGGATAGGAATTCACTGTGGGTTCAGACACAGGTTCCAGGTTGATAAGTGGAGCTATGATGTTCATCTCATTGTTTTAAAGCCTAAGGTTGCAGGGCTGGAGAGATGGCTCAGCGGTTAAGAACACTGGTTCTTGCAGAGGACCCGGATTTGAATCCCAGCACCCACATGGCAGCTAACAACTGTCCATAACTCCAGTTCCAGGGGATCTGATGGCCTCTTCTGCCCTCGTGAGCATTGCATGACATGCACTTACCTATATGCAGGCAATACACTCATACACATAAAAATAATAAAATATTTTTTAAAATGCCTAAAGTTGCTATCGTTTTGAAGTGTGTAGAAGGCATTCATGAGTGAATGGGTAGACATAAACCCCAAGTGACTGCCTGTGAGCATGAGACCCAGGTTCTAGTGGCAACTGTGGAGGTTGCAGCATTGCATGTGGTCCTGGGAAACACTAGGTGTGTTTCTTCCACTAGAAAAAGGTCTGTAGTCACCCTGTCTCGACACCATGACACTGTTCCACCTATAACAGAGGATTATGTTTTGATACCACTTCTGCTCAGCCTTCTCTTTACCTTGCTTCCTTCCCTTCAAATAGATATAGTAAATCAATAAATTATTTAAGGGCAGGTTGATAATGGAATTGTTGACGGACCAAGCTTATGCAGAATGCTTCTGCAAGAGCAATAGAACTCGGACCTTGAACCAGGCAGCAGTGGCTGAGAGCTGGGCAATCAAGTCTCCATGTTAAGTGTAATTACCTAAATTGCTCTTTATGCATGCCTGGGAGAGAAGATGGGCAGAGGGGCCTCTCTGTTTAGGATCTTTCCTTGGTGGATGAGGAGGTGCTTGGGATATTGGATTTGATAAGCTTTTTATCAGAGGGAGCTATTTTCTGCTCAGCTAATGCCCAGGAAACAGCATCTTAGGGTCTTGTTCAGTATCTCAGTGCTGAGGAATGATTAAAATGAGAAACCTCAGAACTTGGGCAGCAACCTATGGCAGACAAGACCAGAAAGCATACTCTGTGCCTGATTTCTGACATGCTAGCTGTGGAACTGGGGCACACAGTGTCATATCTAAGCCTGGCGTTTGCCTTATTTTCTCATTCAACAGAGCATCAGCATTGCCTGCTTTCCAGGGTGGGACTACTCCGTGAGATGATATGCATGTGAGGTTCAGTGAAATAGATGTCATGCGAATGTGAGGTATTATTAACTTTAATCTTTGGATCTCTATGATGAGGACTGATTTATAGGGGAAGGGAAATGGACAAGGATTTGGAATTTTGTCTGCTTTAGCCCTTCAAGTAATAATACCCTCAGGTTCCCAAAAGATAGAAAGGAAGATTTAAGGAGGGATACTGTTTCTCAGGAAAACATCCCAGCCTGCCTTCTTAGCAAAATTCCCAATTCTTCCTTGGACAATCTTTTCCTTGGCTATACATTCCATTTCTTCTGTTCTCACTTCCACATTCTGGTGACAGTGGAGCTCTATTTGAGCCGCTTAGCTAAATCCAGAGAGGTATCTTCTCCCATCTATAGGAAGACTGAACACAGGCATGTAAAAGGTTAAGGGAGCCACACCCTCAGCAGGAACAGCCCTGGACTTTGCGCTGAGCAGCCATCTCTCTCTGGCCTCTTCTGGTCTGCATGGTACCGGGAGCCTGGTTTGGAGGAGGCAGCGCAGAGGAGGGTGAGAGTGTGGATGCTTGGCTTCCTAACACCATGGACAGCTCCCGTTAACTGAAACACCGCTCTTGGCACCCCAGACTCTTCCTGTCAGATTGAGATTTTATTCCCTGTTCTTCAAGGGACACTGAAGTTACAGTATTGGGTAAGTTCTTCTTGATCTGTCACCTTGGAATCTTCTAGGAACTGCCACTTTGTCCCCTTTCCCACCCCAATGCTTCACATTCTTATTCCTCTCAATCCAAACGAGTTGCACTCTCCCACCCCACCTCTGCTCCTCACCTTCCCCTTCCAAGTTGCTTCAAAGACTCACTGTCTCTCTGTCTTTCTCTGTCTATGTCTCTGTCTCTCTCTGTTTCTCTCTCTCTGTGTTGTTGAGACAGGGTCTTAACTCTGTAGCTAATCTGGTGGTCTGGAACTCACTATGTAGCTCAAATTGGCCCCAAATTTATGGCAGTCCTCCTGCCTCAGCCTTCTGAATGCTGGACTTACTGGCATGAGCCACCATGCATGACTACTGAGCTTTAATGTGGGAAATCTGGGAGAATAATAGGACCTACTTCATGGGGCTGTTCTAAATATCAAGCAAATTAGTATTTGCACAGGGTTTAGAGCCCCGCCTGCCTGTGGTAAATGCTGCATGATTTCCAGAGACTGCTGTTAATCAGTATTCATATTATTTCCTTAGTTGTGTTCTTCAGGAAGTTACTGGAGCTTGGGGAAAGCAGAATGAAGGAGAAGGAGCCCCGTGTCCCCGTTTTGCCCTATCTACTATTCCTGTTCTTCCTCTAGGTTCAGAGAAGCAGGAGAGGGGGGAATGTATTTCTTTTATTCCTGTTTGGGAGTGGCATTGACCATTGTACTAGTACTGCCACCCCGCCCACTCAGTTCCCCAGGGGGAGACCAGACGACTGGGTTTCCTCCTGCATGAACACCTGCCAGGTGCCGGCTGCATGCAGCCCAGCCCTCCCTGTAGCACTCTCTTGCTCCCAGCAGCTGCTAGAAAGGTGGGTGTGTCCCTTTGGGCAAAGTCCATGCCAGGAGTTTACAGGAATGGGTGCAAAATTTGAAGACTTTGCCATTGAAGACAAAAGGGGAGGACAGCTTGAGACCTTGACAGTTCTTTATCAGTTGGGGAAGCAAATCCAACTTTCATTTTCTATGGGTAATTCCAGTCTTTTCTGGAGGACTGCCTCCATTCTTGAACTCACCACCTGGTTCACTCTCATTTAAAAATGAGAGGTGGCTCAGCAGTTAAGAGCACTGGCTGCTCTTGCAGAGGACATGCGTTTGATTCCCAGCACCCACATGACAGCTAACCATCTGTAACTCCAGTTCTAGGGGAATCTCACGCCTTCTTCTGACTTCTGTGGGAATTGCATGACACAGGTGCACTAATACACATGCAGGCAATATACTCACACACATAAAATAAAAAAACTGGAAAATAAAGAAAAATGAAGCTCATGTGGTAATGACAGGAGAGACCTCTGGAACTGGGTATAGGGGAGGGACTAGGTGACCAAAATGGGGACTGGTAGAGGTGGGGATTGAGTAGGAGTGTAGGGCAAACAGCCAAGGAGACTGGATGCTGACGAAGATAGCAGAATAGGAGGGAGGGAACTTTTAGTACCTGGCTGTGGTATAAAGCTTGGCTCACACTTCTTCAGTCCTCTCCATCAGGCACTACTCTGCTCCACCACTGCTGCCTACCGATGCCATCCTTAATCAGTGGGGCAGACACAGATAGTCCTGTCTAAGCCCATTCTACCCCCAGCCCAGGGATCAGAGGGTTTCCCTATGTCCCTGGTTGGTCAGCCTGATCCAGAGGCCCTTCTGGGTAGAGGGCTCTCTGTAGAGAGGGAAAAAGGGCTCTTAGGTCTTCCCGCCCTCTTCTCCTCTCACTGTGACTGGCCCCTTAAGCTGAGCAAACAGTAGCAAATTGCAGCTTTGACTCCTAGGATCCTAGCTGCTCTGGACATGCCTGACCTGGAAGGCCCTGTGGGGGTACAGGACCTTGTCCTCCTGGAACCCTTGGATGAGGAATCTCTGCTCAAGAACCTCCAGCTTCGCTATGAAAACAAGGAGATTTATGTAAGCTCACTGTGGGCGCCAGGCTGTGGGTATATCCGGAGTTAAGTGTTCCTCCTGCCGGGATCATTCCCTTCACTCTCTTCTGATTCCAGACCTACATTGGGAATGTGGTGGTCTCAGTGAATCCCTATCAGCAACTTCCCATCTATGGCCCAGAATTCATTGCCAAATACCAGGACTATACCTTCTATGAGCTGAACCCCCATATGTAAGTAAAGAGGCCAAGGACAGGTGGACAAAATCCCATGAATAACACCAATTCCCCCTGTCCCTTCCTCTTAAAGGAGGTTCTCCAGCTTCCCCTCCTCCCCTGAGACTCCTTCCTAGGCTGTCATGTCCTGCCTAATCTGGTCCCTATGAGGAGGGTAGATGAACCTAGTGCTGTGGATTAACAGATGATGCCTTGGGCTGGCCCCACATTAGTTACTGCCCACTTTCTTTCTATAAGCTATGCTTTAGCAAATGTGGCCTACCAGTCACTAAAGAATCGGGACCAAGACCAGTGTATCCTTATCACCGGCGAGAGTGGAGCTGGGAAGACTGGTGAGGAGGCATCTGGCTGGGAAGCCTAGGAGTCATGTCTGGAATCCTGACCTTATGTCTTTTCAATGAGGCCTGGTCCTGTCCCTCCCAATCTCCAATCTTCTCCAGTTTTTCTTTCTTTCTTTTTTTAAAAAAAGATTTTTGAATTTTATATTATGTGTATGTATGTGCACATGCGTGCAGATGTCTGTGGAGGCTAGAAGAGGGTGTCAGATCCCCTGGAACTGGAGTTATAGGAGGTTGTAAACCACCAATTGTGGGTGCTAGGAACCCCATATGGGTCTTCTGCATGAGTAGTAAATGCTTTTAACTGCTAAGCCATCTCTCCAGTCCCAATCTTTCCTGTTTTTCTTACTGCAGGGGTGTGAGGTGCTGGGGTTAGAGGAGTTGAGGGAGGTGGGGAGTTGAGGGAGTTGAGTCCCCTGGTTGGGGACTCTGAGAGTTTCTCGTGCACAGAGGCTAGTAAGCTGGTGATGTCCTATGTGGCTGCCGTCTGTGGGAAAGGGGAGCAGGTGAACTCTGTGAAGGAGCAGCTGCTTCAGTCAAATCCAGTGCTGGAGGGTGAGCATTGTGGTCTCTACCCTCTCCATTTCCCTGCCCTTGGCCCCCAGAATCCCTCAGCCCTAGACATTCTTCCAAAACCACTGTTCCCCTTCAGCCTGAAAAAATGTAATTGCTTGGTAGACTGAAAGGCGTCTTCCCTGCAGGACTTCCCTTCCTTTCCCTTCCCGCCCCTTCCCTTCCTTTCTCCTTTCTCCCTTCTCCCTCCTTCCTCTTCCCTCCCTCCTCCCCCCTCCCTCCTTCCTCCTCCCTCCTCCCTTCTCCCTTTCCTTCCCTAGGGTCTCACCCTTGGGAGCCTCAGCCACCTCACTTCCCTTTTCATCTCTGCAGCATTTGGCAATGCCAAGACCATCCGCAATGACAACTCCTCTCGATTTGTGAGTGACCATATCTATTCAGGAGGAGGGGTGGGGGCTGAGAGGGAGGAGCACTGCACAGAGTCTTCCTCACAGCTTTGAGAAGAGGAGGAAGCCAAGGCTTTCTTTGGTCTTTCTCTGAAGGGAAAATACATGGATATTGAGTTTGACTTCAGAGGATCCCCCCTTGGTGGCGTCATCACAAACTGTATGTCTCCCTGCATGCCTGACCAGTTCTCTTCCTCCTGCCCACTGTGTCCTTTTGTGGTCCTGTAGGCAGGAAACTTCTCAACCCCCTGAGAACATTGGGGTTAAGGGCATGATTAGAGAGATGCTGTATTATCTCCTAGACCTTCAGGAGGGTGTTTTCTCATACTCTGCCAGATCTGCTTGAGAAATCTCGAGTGGTGAAGCAACTCAAAGGGGAGAGGAACTTCCACATCTTCTATCAGTTACTGACTGGAGCAGATGCGCAGCTGCTGAGTACGTGCCTGCCCTGGACATGTGGTCAAACACCCCCAACCTCCATTCCATCCCCAGAACTGTGGGCCCCTCTTGTCCCCTTCCCTTGAGCCCCCTCTCCACTTCTCAGTGCCTGCATTCCCCACCCAGAGCCGTATCACCTGTTGTTGGGAACAAATCCCCTGACCTCTCTGCTCTCTTCCTTTGCCTGGTTGTTTGCCAGGGCTATGCCTTCCTTACCTCATTACTGCTCTTGTCCCTGTGTCCTGCCTGGTTCTCTCCTCAAGCTGGCTTCAAGCATGAAGCACTCAACTCTGCCTTCCTTCCTACTTCAACTTGAGGGGCTTTATTGATAGTTAAGCAGGAAAGTGAGGCAGGATGTGGGAGTGTTCAAAAACTTCCAAAGACCTCTAGTGGAAGCTGCCTGGGCGTATACACTCACCTCACCTAGGCTCTTCCCTGATTTTCTTAGCTAGCTCAGTGGAAGTTTCATTCATTCTCTTTCTTCTTCATCAAGCGCCTTTTGATCAGGCATTAGTTGGCCTATAGTGATAGAGGTGAGTATGACACGGACCCTGTGATCAAAGAACTCAAGTCTCTTAGGCATGGTAGGTATATGAGCAGATACATTGCAATGCAGTGTGATTGGTTCCAGTAAGCCTGTTCAGGTAGCTATAGCAGCAGAAGGTATAGAGTTCCCTTGCCTTGTCCTGAAAACTGGACTGGCCAGAGGCTATTGGAGGGCATCACTGGGGTCTGGTGGGACTTTGCCCTTGCTAGAGTTTGCCCCTCAATCTCCCCTCTAGCTGTGAAAACCATGATTTCTAGCCCCTAAGGATCAGTCTGTCTCTTTAGTTTTTGTTATGCTGGACTTATGCATAACTCTTTTCCTGTCCTTGAAATTCCTGTTTCAAAAGTCTCCATAAGTCTTATCCTCCTTCTTGGTTTAATGGCCTCAATGATGTTCAATTTATATGACTCAGGCACTAATGTCTTGTTCTGGCTGGTTCCGTACCTGTTAGTTTAAGCTGAATCTGGGTGGCTTTCCCTGGGATCACTATTCTGGGTTTTATGACTCATTCTTTTTCTAGCTGCCCTTCCTTAGCAATCTCCTATTTCAGAATTTGTGTGCTAGAGGGAAGTGTCACTAAAATCCAGTTTGAAATTTATTCTCCGATTCCCAGATCATTTACATAAATGCTAACTGACACACCTCTAGTCCATGGTCAGTCTAATTCTTTCATTTTACATAAACAACCTAAATGGACATTTCTTTGAATTCATTTATTTTTTCATTAAAATTTTTTAATTTATTATTTTTATTTTATGTGTATGAGTGTATTGCCTACACATATGTAAATGCAACCATATTGTGCAAACACTTCAGAGGCCACAAGAGGGCGTTGGATCCCCTGGAACTGGAGTCACGGACAGTTGTTAGCTGCCATGTGGGTGCTAGGAATTGAAACAGAGTCTTCTGGAAGAACAAGCATTCTTAACTACTCTGCCATCTCTCTAGCCCCCTGATTCATTTTTCAAAATGAAAAAAATTCCGTTTCAGGCACATAGAATATGAAGCTGATAAGCAGTCCCAACATACAAATTGCTCATTTTGGGGAAAGACAAAAATTCAAAACCTAGCTCGCATGATATAGATTTAGAGAAAATCTCATTTATCTTAGGGGACTACAAGACAGCCATTTATTAGCTCAGCCCTCAGCACTGAGAAAACCTTTGGAGAAAACCTTTCAGAGGAGGCATTAGGGCCAGGGAACAAATACTGAATGAGTAAACAGGGGCGAAGGCTATTGAGGCTGGGGCCTCACTTTTTCCCAGAACAGAATAGAGAGTTTACTTGATTGTTTTTGTTGTTTAGAACCCTGAGGGTGGGGGAAAGAATCAGTGGGGCTTTTATTTCATTTAAGTTCAAGGGAAACTCCAACAGGTATGAATACCCAAATCCAAATATTACTTAAAAAGTTAGTTTATCAGCATAGGAATTAATTATCCCCAAACAGAGGGGACAAAGGAAGAACCTAAAGCGAAAGTGACTCCTCCTGGGGCTGAAGAGATGACTCAGAGGTTAAGAGCATCTACTGCTCTTGCTAAGGACCTGGTTCAGTTCCTAGCACCCACATGGCAGCTGTCTATAATTCTAGTTCCAGGTGAATCCAGTGCCCTCTTCTGGCTTCCACAGGCATTGTACACACAGGTGCATTTACATACACAGAGACAAAACACTCATACACATAAAATAAAAAATTTTTAAATCTTTTCTTTTTTTTTTTTTTTGGTCTTTTTTGAGACAGGGTCTCCCTGTAGCCCCAGCTGTCCTGGAACTCACTATGTAGACCAGGCTGGCCTTGAGCTCACAGAGATTCGCCTGTCTCTGCCTCCTGAGTGCTGGGATTAAAGGAGTGCGCCACCACGCCCGGCTAAAAATCTTTTAAAAAATTAAAAATGGCTCCTTCAAATGAAGGAATGAACTTATCCAGAGCAGAGGCAGGGAGGTGTCAGGTTCGGGGATTAGAGAGCAAGTCCTAACCTTCTTCCATGGTCACCCTCCCAGAGGCCCTAAAGCTTGAGAAGGATGCAAGTGGATATACCTATCTGAATGGGGAAGTGTCCAGAGTAGATGGCATAGATGACGCCTCCAACTTCAGGGCTATGCAGGTGAGTGCCCACTGTGGGACAGGCTTGAGCCCTTAGGCCATCTTCTGAGCTCAGGCTTTGTGAGGGGAGGTCCTGGACTGGCCCTAGCTGCTCAGCTTGCTGTCTGCTTTCTTCCCAAGAGTGCAATGACAGTGATTGGGTTCTCAGACGATGAAATTCAACAAGTGCTGGAAGTGACAGCTCTGGTGCTGAAGCTGGGAAACGTGGAGTTGATGGATGAGTTCCAGGCCAATGGGATACCAGCAAGTGGCATTCGTGATGAGAAAAGTTTGTGCCACCTTGATGAAGCCCCACTCTGAATGCCCTGTCTCAAGTCCAGTTTTTGTATCACCTCCAATGTGATTGCTGCATTCCCACTCAGCCCACTCCTGAGGTTTCCTCCAAAGTGACTTGTTGAACTTGTTGGAGTCTCTCCTCCAAAGAGACTTGGAATGAGGTTCTGAAATTTGATAGACTTGGGTCTGGAACTTTCAGAGTCTTAGCTGCATCTTCTGAGATATAGAGGCAATCTTGCCCATTTTAAGAGATTTTCATATCAAAGTAGATAGTGCAGGCAAAGTGCTCAGATCTGCCATATTCCCTTGGCCCCCATTCCTCTGGGCTCATATTCTATGCCAGCCCCATGACTTCCCTAGCCTAACTGGGTTATCAGTCTCTTGGGCAGCCTTGCTGGACAGCCCCTTTCCCCCTCTCCAAACCATGATGGGTTGTTTTTGTTTTGTTTTTGTCATTCTAGCTGTTCGGGAGATTGGGGAGATGATGGGTTTGAATTCAGAGGAACTAGAGAGAGCTTTGTGCTCAAGGACTATGGAGACAGCCAAAGAAAAGGTGGTCACAGTCCTGAATGTCACGCAGGTGAGGGCCCTCCTGTAGGAGCTGATTTTGAGCCTCTTCTGTGGCTGCCACATTAATCAGAGTGTCCCCTCCTCACCCCCACCCCAGGCCCAATATGCTCGGGATGCTCTGGCTAAGAATGTCTACAGTCGCCTTTTCAACTGGATAGTGAATCGCATCAATGAGAGCATCAAGGTGAGTGACTGCCCTCTTCCCTCAAAGCCTCTGCCTGCTTCAACTTCTTGCCCAGGCCACCAACTCCAGAGAGAGGAGCATTTGGAGGAGGGTACAGTTCCTTCTAGGAGTATGTTGTGGGAATGCTGTTGGTATTTGAGTTCCATAATCTGATCCATTTCCTTGTGAACCATGTGGTCTTTCAGTTTCACAAAGATACTGAGCTTCAGGGGCTAGAGAGATGTCTCAGTAGTTAAGAGTGAGTGCTGTTCTTGCAGAGGTCCTGAGTTCAGTTCCTGCACCCACATCAGGCATCTCACAGCTGCTTGTAATTCTAGCTCCAGGGAGATCTGACTCCTCTGGCCTCTGCAGGCACCTGCACTCACATACTCACAGGAAGATACACACACACACACACACACACACTTAAAAATAATAAAAAATCAATCTTAAAAAAAAAAAGATACTTTGCCTCAACTTCCTGATTTGGAAATGGTCACCAAAATACATGAATGCCCATCTGCTTCAGAGTTCACTGAAGATCAGATAAAACAATGTGCATGGTTGCTATAAGCTTCAGCAATACCACTCTTTGGCCTATAGCCAAGAAAACACTGTATACAAACGTTTGTGGAAGCATTATTTTTTATTATTTTATTATTTTTATTTTATGTGTGTGAGTGTATTGCTTGCATGTATGTAAAGGCACCAGTGTTACACAATGCCCATTGAAGTCAGAAGAGGATGTTGGATCCCCTGGAACTGTAGTTATGAATGGTTGTTAGCCACCATGTGGGTGCTAGGAATTAAACCTGGGTTCTCCGCAAGAGCAGCTAGTGCTCTTAACTCTTGAGTCATCTCTCTAGCCCCCAGAAGCATTATTTCTAATAGAAAAAAAGGGGAGGATCAGGAAATTCAGGGCTAGCCTCAGCTATATAGTGAGTTCAAGGCCAGCGTGGGGTATTTGAGATCCTGACTCTACAAATGAATGAATGAATGAATGAACGAATAAATAATAGTAAAAATAGAAACAATCTCTGTCCATCAGGGATGGATGAATAGATAAATAAAGTGGGATATATCTGTGAAACAGTATTTGGCCATAAAAAAGGAATGGAGTTCTTACCTGTGGTATAGCACTGGTGAATCTTGAAAACACTATGCTGAGTGAAAGAAGCACATCACAAACAACTACCTCTTGTGCGTATTTATGTGAAATAGTAGAACAGGCAGATCCGCAGAGAAAGGAAGTAGATTAATGAATGCCCAGGCCTTGGGGGCAGGGAAAAGAGAATAATTACTAAATCGGTATAAGATTTCTTTTTGGCTTGATGAGAATGATCTGGAATTAGGTAGAGGTAGTGGTTGTGCACCTTTTGAATAACTAAAAATATAACCCACTGAGTTATACATGGTATGTAAATTGTATTCAGTAAACATTTATCTTTTACTTTTTTGGTGCTGGGGATCCAACCCAGGATTTCATTCATGCTAATCATGTGCCTTACCACTGAGCTACAGCCCAACTTCAGTAAATCTGTTATTTCACAGTCTTCTATGTGAAAGTGCCTTATATTCTGAAGTTATTCCTGAAAGTCCCATGGGTATGTGGGATTTGAATCTAGGCTTGGGATCCTTTTCCCTTCTAAGATTTGACTTTTTTTTTTCTTTTTTTCTTTTTGAGACAGGGTCTCCCTGTAGCCCCAGTTGTCCTGGAACTTGCTTTGTAAACAAGGCTGGCCTCAAACTCACAAAGATCTGCCTGCCTCTGCCTCCCAAGTGCTGGGATCAAAGGTGTGCGCCACCATGCCCGGCCGATTTGACTTTTTTTGAGTACAAAATAATACTACTCATATAAGGTTATAAATGACATGGAATTTTCTTTTGTAAGAGTACAAATGTAAGGGATGGCTATCATCCTAAAGCCTTTTAAAATCTTTCTACCTAATATCCATTTGCAACCATTCTGGACTCTATTTGTATCTTCCCTCTTCTTCCTCTTCCTTTGCTTGTTCTGCAGCTAATGGAGGAGGGAGGAGAGTAGACACCACAGATCCTTTCCAGCTTGGTCAGGCTTACTCTAGCTCTGTTTGTCCCTGCTCCAATCCCATCTACCCCAGAAGGACCTGGCCTGGTGTGCCCAAGGAACTATTCCTTACCTTTTTATCCTTCTCTCCTCTTCAGGTGTGCACTGGGGAGAAGAGGAAGGTCATGGGGGTCCTGGATATCTATGGTTTTGAGATATTAGAGGTGAGAGAATATCAGCCAACTTCAGCAGCCAGCCTCCCCATTTGGGGGACAGGCTTGTAATGGATGTGAGAGGGGGCTGTGAGGGAGGAGGGGTCTGAGGTGAGCTGCTTTCTCTTCAACCCATAGGATAATAGCTTTGAGCAATTTGTGATCAACTACTGCAATGAGAAGCTGCAACAGGTCTTCATAGAACTGACCCTGAAGGAAGAGCAAGAGGAATACAAGAAAGAGGTAAGTACCAAGTCTGCCTGCCCCCCAAGTGACTTGCAGATGTATGCCAGATCTTCCTTTCCTCTTGACCACAATTTCCATCTAATTGTCCCCAGATGGTAACACAAAGGACAAAACATTTCCCTCACACAGCTGAGCATTCAGCATTACTTAGTAACCCCAATGTTTTGCTTCCCACCCTCTGTGTCCCAGATTTCACTCCAGGCCAGGCCAGACAGGGGACAGATTGATGGAAGGGTGTGTATGTGTGTGGAGGGTCCTGACAAGGCTGAAGTGACAGCTGTGCTTGGCCTATGGCAGACGTGAGCCACATTTAGAAGGGACATTTCTCCTGGGCTTGGCACCGTCCCCCATCCCTTAAGTGCCCTTCTCTAACTTCTCAGAATCTTTTGTCTCCTCTGGGTGTTAGGCAGTGTTGCTGTCCCCTGTAATAGCGCCATGATTCCAAGACTTACTCATCAGAAATGCCCTATGGCTTCCAATTTCCACACCCCTTCTCTGATTCAATATAAACCCTTGAGTTCCATGGCTACGTGTTAGAAAAGCTCTCTGATTAAGCTAATCCACTCCAAAGTGTGAGTGGCTGCGTCTCATTAAAATCCTTCTAGGGAGTCCCTGTGAGCTCTCAAGAACCTATCTGTGTGGTAGGATTTCAGGCAATGTGGTTAGAATGTATGGACAACTTTTTTCAGTTGTTTTACCTATTTTTGTTTTAACAACTTAGATGATAAACATTCCCATCCTTCTACCTCTGCCCCTAGACTCCCAGTTCTCCTCTCTGCCATAGGCCACCAAGGTGGGCCTCCTTCCAAAGGTCTTTTGCTTCTTTACAAGCACATATGTAAATGTATTTTTCTATACAACTTATACAAAGGGCAGTAAATATGCTGTGTTCTGTACCTTGTTAACACTTAGCTACCTAGTATTACAAGGATGTCATAATTTATTCAGTTAGGAACAGTATTTTGGGGTGAAATAGGAAGGCAACTTTACTTAGTTCTAGTCTCCTTTTGCTAAGAAACTGTATGGGAAGAGAGAAAGAAAGGCTTGTGCACCCCAGCCTACAATTGGGTACAATTTGGCCCTCGGGAGGGATTAGGGGATATCCTGCCTGTAGGCCTAATGTTCAGCAAGTCCTTGAAGCAGTGAACACTTCTTTTTTTTTAAATTATTTATTTAATAACCACATAGTTAGAAGAAGCATTTCATTACATCAGCATTGACATATTCAATAACAATTTTCTGAGCTCTTATAAAATTGGCTGTACATTTTTAGGTTTACAGTTGAATTATTACAGTTATATAATATTGTACTCAGTATAAACCCTATAAGACATAAAATTAAATGAGGTTTTAACCTTTAAAAAAGATCTCCATTTCATTATTAAAATATAGAGTTTCACGCAGAAAACTTCTTTTTTAATGCAATTGACATTAAGATGTTTGCACATACATTTCTAATCTCTATATATCAGATTATTACTAGTCACTAGTCACAGCTTTCTGAGCTCCTTGGCATCTGAGCATGGATATAAAGTCATCAGGTAGATTTCAATGGTAATGCTTTTTACATCTACTTATTAT